ACAAAAGTTTGGCAATTTTAATGTGTGAATTTAAGGCAGTTTTGTAAATTGCTTCTGATTGAACTGCTATAGTTGCAGAAGTAAGAGCCTCATAAAAGGATGACTAGCCTTATGTCCAGATTTTTTTTAACTTCATGGGATATAACCAGTTTAAGTACAACACACTTTCCCTTTTTAAAAACTAGTCTGTTTTACAGTAAAGGAAGAGATGAATCATCTCCCATAGTTTTATTTTCTTTTAACTTTGCTTTTTAACACTACATTGTCAAATCTTAGTAGGTAAGAGATTATCAGTCTCATAGCTGCCCTTTAAATTATGAGAAAAATTGCACTTTATCATTAAATCAGTTCCTAGGAAATTAATCTGAAATGGCAAAGTCCAAAATAAACAGACTAGGATGACTTTCTTTGTATAAAAAAAGTAAAAATGCCGGTAATCCAATTACTCAAACATTTTAATTTATTTAGAATCACTTAATTATTGAAGTAAAGACTGTTGTGTCCCAGACAAAAATTTATTCATACCACAGAGTGTGTTATTTTATTTACAGCCATTGGATACATCTAGTCTATTCAGAGGCTGCCCTTCTGATGGATTAGTAGGCTCCATCCTCAGCAGAACTTTTACTACCCCTAGACACCCAGCCTCTACCTCTTTGGTAGTAATCACCAGCAAAAAATTATTGATACCATCTAGAGTCTATCCCTTAATCAAACAAGATGAAAACAAATCTAGTATCTCAGATCTTATGCTGTGTCCTTGTGTGTAAAACAATAAACCAATCTGTATTGACAAAGGTAATGGTTCTTCATGTGGAGACCAAATTATTCAATAAATCCTTTTTTTTTAATTAAAGAGTTTTCAGACTGATAAAAGTTATTGTCTTGAAGGGATGTTCCCCCAGTAAATAGTTCATGTTTGGTTTATAATGAATTATATATGACAAAGGATATAAAGACAGATACAAAATAAAATTATGCAAACCTTTTTAAAATACTCAAAAATAGTCTTAAAACTGAGGCTGAAATACCAACCATGATGGAATGAGAGTCAGCCAGATTCTTGTATTGAGGCAACCCTTATAAACTTTGTTAGGCTCATGCCTAAACTTATGCTTAAAATCTTTTATCCTTATCTTCAAATGCACGTGGTGTAGGAAGGAAAATCATTTTGGCAGTTTGGAACTTGCACAGTGTGCAAGTAGAACAACCTGATAAGAGAAACCTTATTATCAGGAAAGAGTTTTCCCCAGGGTAAGGTACATCCATGGCTTTCTTACTGAGCTGACATCAAGCAAATCTTCAATTGTAAGTCATTCAACAACGATGCAAATGAAACATTTTGCAGAACTGAAATCTTTAAAAACTAACATGGCATACTTAGAACACGTGATTGAGCTATGTGTTTGAAATTTCCTTCTTTTGCATTTTTGTGTTTTAAGACTTTCTATAAGTTGCTTGTACACTGTTTTCTCGTTGTAAATTTTCTTTCATAATTAGAGTATTTCGGTATTGAAGCATATTCTTAAATTCTAAATTAATTTGCTCTGATTAAAGTTGGAATGTTTAGCAAAAGCTCAACCTTTCAAAAACAATGAATATTTCTGTCAATATTTGATGACTAATTTTATTTTAGTGAACTGGGGTATCTGAGATTGGCAAGGTGCTCTTCATTTAAACAATGCCATACATACACAGTACTCCTGGCATGGCTAAACAGTCTAGTAGTGGAAATGTCGCTAGGAAAAATGCTTGTTAGGATGAGATTTTTCACTATTGCTGATATTGGGCATATGGATTTGGTTTGCCTGAGTGAGATGGACTATGCCAACATCAGTTAGGCCAGTGACTTCCCTGAGGTTGAACTCCATTACAATAGTTATTTTGTCGTTTGTATCAATATCCAAAGCCTCTAGTTTCTTTCTTAATAATATATAGAAAAAATAAAGCAAGCCAACTATAAAAATGCTTATAGAATCCATTCTTTATGTTATATCTTAAGTTAAACTGCAGTGATATACATGCAAGGAATTTATGTGAATAGAAACAGGACAATACCACACTAAATTTATCTGTGATCTTTTACAATGTCAGTGAGCTTATAGAAATGTCACTGATAATGGTGTATTTTCCTATGGCATATGCCCACATATTTTTATCCTCTTTGTCCCAGTTCAAAATGTGCAAATTATATAACATTCAAATATTCTACTAAAATTGTTAAAGTAGTTTAATCTATGATCAGTGATATTGTAGTAGTAACTGAAAAAACAGTAGCAACCATTTCATGAACATTCCTGATGCATGGAAGCATGAGGCGCTTTCCAGCCCATCAGACGTTTCGAGCCTTCAGAAGTTTGAGGTAAGGACTCATGAAAAAAATAACAGTGCTTTCAAAATACAGTCACAGAATTTTCCATACCATGTTAGCTCTGATCTAGTGGTCTTTAGAACATTATTCCAGCTTGTCAGGTTGGGTTTCTTTTGTTCGTTTATTTACTTTAGCTGTGCAGCAAGGCA